CTTTTGAGCTACACCCATGGAAGGGGTAAGAGTATTTTGAGAAGCCTACCACCTTACCAGTCATGGATTGCATCATGACATACATATCATGAGCCCCAAATGGGATCCTGGGAATTAGTGCAGACATTTTACGAATAGATAGAATTCAAGGAAGATTCTCTCTTGGCAGCTGACGAAATCCCATAAACTGCAAACTATAAATGCAGATTACAGGTCAAGTCTATTTTATTCCTAATTAAAACCACTGGCAACTTCCTTCCTACCTAAGGTAGGAAGTTTTATTAAATATGCCTTAATAAAACTTCCTAAGTTTTATTAAATATTAACATATCTTCTATTAAACACATACTCTCAGTCTATCTATGTATGACTACATACCTAAGTACACATGTAAAAATATAAACCTCGGCATATGTATTATATATATAATGATGACCTCTGGTGACTGTTTGTACACAAATCTAATCATTTCTGAGTTTTTCTCATTTGGATACAAGTCCTCACAGACTTTGCAGAGGTCTGCTTAAAATGCAGATTACCTTTGCCTCATGCATTTTTAATGGGTGAAATCAGATAATATTGTGCCTCCCACCACCTCACCCCCCAAAATTGGAAAACATGGACAGACATCTCCCCAGATGCACTATCTTAATCCCAAAACAATGACCACATTTGTTCATCATTTTTCCAGTAAAATCTGGCAGATTGCTTTCTTTCACTTAACATTATTTCATATGTGTTTTCCATGATACTAAATAATCTTTACAATTATCATTTCAATGGCTATACTGAGTGAATGCACACCACAATTTATGTAATGTTTACCTATTGTTAGGCATTCAGTTGCTTCCATTTTTCCCTACTTTAAGTTGGAATAAACATTTTCATATAAGCTATTAATTTAAAGCAGCATACAGAGATAAATAACTCTATATCGCTAATCTAAAAATACAGGGCTTGTATATTTATAACTCACATTTGATTATGAAATTTAATTTGAGAGTAATTAAGACATTTATATTCCAAACAGCTCCTCGACATCTAGTTCTCCCTGAGCCAGACAGGTGCAACCATGACTAGCCACTTTCACCTCTAGACTGCATAGTCCAGGGAATTCTAAACCATAGTTTTTGTAGAAAAAATAAACTTCATAAACTTCTGGTGCTTTAGAACCAGGAGACCAACAAGGACCAGAATCCATGGTTCGAGGGGTGACCTGAACAAAGTAACCTCTAACCACAGATGCCACATGGGTTTCATGCTCACTCCAAATCTCAAGGTAGTCCTCTGTGACTGTGCTCCAGGTCCAGATATGTTCAGGGACCATCTGTAAGTCCTTGAATGAGCCAAGCCCAGAAATATCATGCGAACAGGCAAGGAAATGACTTGGATAAGTATCAGCAGTGTGATACTTATCAAAGTTGAGCATGGTCATTTCAGGTTGCAGATTTTCCTGCACTGACTTCATGTACATTAGGGTGTGTGTAGCCCATTAGCCCTGTGACTTCAAGAAAGTTACAAAAGAAAATCTTGTGCCTCAATATCTCAGTCTATATTGTGGGGATAACACTAATCTTTCCTCTGTGATGGTATTACAACGGTCAGATGAGAAAGTGCAAGTGAAGTACAAGAGAATGCTGGCATCCAGTTAGGACACAGAATTATACCACATACCTGCAGAATGTTAATTCAACACTGTAATATACATACTTTCATTTGCTGAATGGATGCATGAAGGAATGAAGAATGGACCAGTGCATGAGAAGGTTCCCTTGGTCTCCTAGAAAGTCTTCTGTACCATTTGCTTTCAGGACTAATCACTTCCTTAATGGTAATTACTATAAGCCTAATCCTCCCAGTAGACTGTAAGTGAACACCCTGCAAAGATGTGTCCACCTTATTAATTCCTTATGTCCAGGAAAATTCCATTCAGCCATCAAAAGAGTCATAACCTCATTTGAGGCCAAAATAAATCAACTGCAGAAGTCTCTTGGTGTCTTCCCTACCAGTGAAATGGGGACAACCCAATTACTTCTACTTTCAACAAACTAGCCTGATTAAAAGTCCTAAGTATTACCACCATTTTTACTAATAAAGAAACGACTTTTATGTACTTAGCAACTCTGCAAGACAGAGAAGAGCTTTGGAGTACTTTTACTATTATTATTTTGCCACTAGCAATTAATTCTTCTGATTTGTTTTATGAGTTTGACCATTGGGTCCAACACTCAGGATATCTTTCCAAACCAGCAGAGTGATGTAAAAAAATTATTTCAGTGTAGTTCCTGGCAAACCGTGATGATGAATAGCATGGTAGGACAAACTTATTCAGTCACACATTTTTCAGTAGTGGCAGGGAAAAGGCTGAAAAATTACTAGTAAATTGCTTTTTGTAAAAATGCTCTCTCTTTCAAATTTTCCCTAGTGTGAAGGCCTTCTGCAGAATGATGGCACAATACATTCTGACATACCTGGATAGCAAAAGCAGCTCAAGAATGAATACCAGATAACAGTGAGGGTTAAGATTTAATTTTCTTATTATGCCCCTAGTTTCCTGTATTCTCCTCCCCCAACCCCGTCACACAAACACCAAGTTCTTTTATGTGCATCTTTTTAGCCTGTAAGGATAAGTGTCTCTAAAAGATATCTATTATCTCTCCTAGCAGGCTTGCCCTGTCCCACCCACCACATACAAGTTAGACCTCTGCAGAACAGAGCCAAGATAGACACATCTCTGGTCTGTTCCTTTCCTTTTCTCTCTTCCTAAAACTACCCTGTTGATGAAGTTTTGAATTACAGAGGCTCCACATATCCATAGCACCCAGTAAAGCAGCAAAGAACTTCCTTTGCTTTCTCTAAGAGCTTTGACTTTCAGGACACATGGGGAATAGTGGAACTGGAACCTTAGGCATCTGGGGCTGGAATACCTAATGCAGTGGTCTCTGTTGGGGCAGTTATGCCCCCTGGACTCATTTGGCACAGTCTAGAGACCTTTCTAGGAGTCATGGGGAGGAGGATGTGTTACTTCTGTCACGTAGCTAGAAGCCAGAGATGCTGCTGCTGCACATCCTACACTACACTGAGGAGTGCCTCCAACAATGAGTGGTCTGGAATGAAGTATCGCCAGTGCAGTGACTGAGAAACTGTGGTCTAAATTAAAATGCTTTTATCTTTCAACATGATTACTAGTTAGTTCACTGCATTGTATGAAGAACTTGATTTTTCTCTAAAACCTTCACTTGGTAACCACTGGTGGCAGCCTGCAAGGTGGCAGGACCATACTGGCCCAAGATGCAGGGGTCAGTTACCAGAGGTCCCAGACTGCAGAGGGGAATGGCTCTCAGATGGGCTCTACAGGTCTTTTTCTTCTTCCCCTTTACCAAACCACCATGCATCTTGGCCTGCAGTGCTGACTCAGTAAAGACTAAGGACATGAGGAGGGGTTGGACCTCTGATTGTTGGACACCTGGATCTACTACAAGCTGCATGGATTTGGGGTCTGGTGGATTAGAGTCTTACTCCCACTTGTGCTTACTTCTGTGTGATCCTGAATGAGTGACATAACCTCTTTGAACCTGAGTTTCCTCCTTGAAATGGGAAGTGTGGTGTTGACCTTCAGGGACATTTATGAGGAAGGTCCTTACAGATTAGCTGAGCATCTGGCCCATGGATACTCTGACCCTATAAATGCTGGCCACCTTTCAAGTGTTGAAGTCGTGGCATTTCTCAAGAACTGCTACTACAAGTCTCTAGGTTTGGTTCTCAGGCACCCCAGGACAGAACACAAGGTCTGACAACCCTGGGCTGGGCAGTACAGCTCTCACCATTTGTGTCTATAACCTTGCAACTGTGGACATGAGGCTTCATGCCAGGGCCCTGCAGCTACCTCTGCAATCCCACGCATCCTTCTCAAAGACAAGGGCTAAAGCAAAGTCCAGTTCACAAAAAAATATACTTAAATTAACTGTCAGGGCTTTAACTTCAGCCCTCAGGAAAGTTCTTCCATGTACAATAAACAGCTGTGAATCTGCCTGATAAAGTAAAGGCATTTTACCCCACTGGTATTCCCCAAGAGGAATCATTGGCCACCTGCATCTTTTTAGCTGCATTTAATAATTCAGCCCAGGATGAATTTGCGTGATTAACATAAAGCCTCATGATTTTATTTTCTTTCAGGATTTAAGTATGGAAACAACTACCATTGTTTTCATTTTTCCAAGGCTATGATCAAAACACAAAACTTGAATCTAGAATGGTTTCTTTTAATTTTTTAGAAGTATTTTCAAATTTCACTCCCTACGGGATCAAAAAAGAGAGTTGGAACCACTGTATTTGTAGATGCAGGGAAACCCAAGTTCCACTTGCACCTGGTGTTAACCCATGAGAAGCAAACCTACCCTCCACAATGTACCCTTGAAAGATTCCAGTGCAGGAGCATGGGCAGCTCCCACGGAATCTGAAATGGCTAACCTAAATATATTCACTTCCAGTCCTCCTCACAGGCTCTCCACATGTATCTGTTCAGACTTTTCAGGAAGTCTTTAAAACAGCACTTCTTGATTCCAATAATAGATTAATCACATCATCTGCAAAAAGTAGTAAAAACCCAAACCAAATAAGTTGCATTTGGTAAACCATCTGCCTACAAAGTGGAGACACGCGTGTGAAAAGAAAATTTGCAAAGCAGACAAGGCAGCATCGTTGGGCTTCTTGATGAATATAGTACACCAGGTTTGTCTAATGGGGAAACATGCATTACTATCAAAAGAAAAAGGAATGTATTCCATATGGAAATGCAAGCAGGCTTTAATATCTGAGAAGCATTTCATGCTGTGCCTGCCAGCAACTCTGTCTGATTTTCCTTAACATAAAAGGCCGACCTCACCTGCTTAAAAATAATTAGGAAGCCGGCAGTCATAATTTTGGCCAGAAGTCCTTGCCGCCTGTGTTTGCTCATGTTTCTGATCCACTGACACCTCTGTTGCTGTCTCTGAATGCAGGAACCATGGTCAGTAAGGAAACCAGCAAATGCATACTCACGACGGCAGAGAGTGAAGTAGAGCCAGCTGCCTGCCTGGCCCTGGAGATGAAATATGCCCTGGATCCCAATCGGCAAATTAAAAAGCGTAACAAAGCCCTTCAAGTGCGCTTTAAGGATATCTGTGAGGCCCAGAATGAACAGAGGGACACACAACTTTCCTCAGGACAGCTGGGCGAAAAGCGAGAGGCCAAGCCCGTGTCCTGCAGAGCAGCTTATCGAAAATACATGACGGTGCCCGCGCGGCGCTCCATCCCCAACGTCACCAAGAGCACAGGTGTGCAGACCTCACCAGACCTTAGGAAGTGTTATCAGACATTCCCTCTGGACCGAAAAAAAGGGAATCTCAAAAACATCACAGCTGCAGATTCCTTCAAAACTCAAAACAATGGGTTCCTAACAGATGTGAAAGAGAAGAGCCAGGCAGAACCCATGGAGGAGGTCCGAATATGCAGCGCGGGGCGGATACACAAGACAACAGCCTTGGTTTTCCATTCTAACGAGCATGTAAATGTCACAGACCTGCTTCCTGGGGTTAACTGTGCAGAGCCCTGCAAAGACCCAGATGTGCTCAGGCACCCAGAGACTCTACTCCAGAACTACTCTCTGCCTCCCTCAGAAGAGGCTGTGTACCAGCTGCAGGGGAGAGCAAAGTCTGAAGGGGGCACTCCAGACTCAGAGGAGCCTGCTCCACTGGCCCACAGGGTGTTTAAAACAGAGGTGGCCACTGTATACGCGCCTGCCATCAGTGCCAGGACCCCGGACCCTGGCTTGTCAGACTCTGCTGCACCCAGCCAGTGGTCCCTCTGCCCTGCAGATGAGGAGCAGAGGAGAGCCACACATCTCAATGGGCTGCAGCCAACCCCCAGCTCTGCACTGGCCCACTCACCCCCAGTGCAGGGCCAGTCCCCCCAAAGTAGAGAACAACCCTTGCAGATTCAGCCCAGTGCCACAGCCACGCCTGCAGGTGAAGAATGCCAGCAAATCGTGCCTCACACAGAAGTAGTGGACCTCAAGGCACAGCTTCAGATGATGGAGAACTTGATCAGTTCAAGTCAGGAGACCATCAAAGTGCTCTTGGGGGTCATTCAGGAGCTGGAGAAAGGAGAAGCCCACCGAGAAGGGTATGTATGTGCACCATGTCTTATTCATTCTATAGCTCATCACCAAGGGTCCATCTATAAATCCCCAAAGCCCAAGTACATAAGAAGACTAAATCTATCAATTCTGTGGGCAGGCTACAGTCTAAACAGCAGGTTACAAGGGGTCAGGGATTGTGTTGAAAGGCGAGGCTTCCCTCATGGCATACTCACCTTCAAGGCATACTTGGTTAGCAAGCACCTGTCTGGCTTTGAATTTAAACCACACCCATATTTTGAATGGATTGGTGAACCTTTCCTTTTAATCTACTAAAACTAAGAGTTTATGATCTTCATAATATGTAATACATATGCCAGTCCAAAATATTTAAATTAAGGAGCTATGTGCCTCTTAGGAATATTATGGAAGAGAAAAAAATTCAGATGACATTGAGAAAAATAAATGCTGACTTATAAGCCTATAATAAATAATTGGAATGACATCGACAGTCAAGACTGCATAAGGTTTTATATAATAGACAATGTTTTTCATTCTTTTCTTGAAACACAAAGGAGTGCCCCTCAATAGAAAAGACAGATGCCTATTCAGATGGGGTGCCCTGTATGTCCAGTTGGGCTGCAGAGAAAACAATACCAAGTTCATAGTCATAGTCAACACTGTCTAGCACTGGTAAAGGCTTGCTAGACCTGATCATATTTTGAAGTTCAAACCGAGCAAGTTGTTGAGTTCCCTAGCCAGCCAACCAGCCACCTTAGCTGTACACCAGGCAGTGTGTTAGGATGACACATCCAGCATCACTTTGGTTCCAGGCTTCTCCAAGCAGTACCGGTTGTTCACTAGCCTATGAACTTCTAAGCCCTCTCTTTCAATTCCACCTTGAAACTAGATTTCCTGTAGACTGTGTTCTTGAGATTAAGCTAAGGGACAATGCCCTGCTGCCTTATGTGGTCTGTACCCTTTACTTAAGTGGTTGAGCTGGCAGGCAGCATGAAGACGATAAGCCCAGTAATACATTATCAGAGCAAAAATCCCTCCAGAGGACTGCTCTGGGTAAATTAGAAAGTTTTTGCTTATTGCAAACAATGGAGAAAAAGAGACCTGTAATTCCAAGACAAAAGGTAAGGCTATGGCACTAGGTCTAGTGTCTAGGTACCTGGGAGATCTTGCCCTTGACTTTTGGTTGTTCCAGCTTAGTGTAGGTAGCTTGTCTACAAAATGAGCATTTCTTGCCACTGCCCAATTCTGATTTCCACAGTAAAATTGTAGTTGTTGTTATTAAGCAATAAGAATTGACAGGCAAACGTAAAATAATTTTACAAGAGATTGGTAGGTAATCTAATACCATGAATTTTCAGAAAGCCTTGTTCAATCTTGGGCTTACATCTCCATTTTCATCCCATTTCAGTCATTTATACCTCAATCTGTACATATCCCAAAGCAACACACTGAGGAGAAGGGTTATATTAGGAATTTGTTGATCAACGGACCACATTCCTATGGAAAGATTTAAAAGCCCAAACAGTGACCCTGTCATTGACTTTGATATAGCTAGTAGTAATTTAAGCCAGACAGCAAAACAGATACCAATACAGACAGGTATGAAATAAAATTTACTAAATGGTGGAAAACCAGATGTGCATGTTAATATGCAAGCTGACATGGGTATGCGCCTGCATGAAGCCGCATGATGGAATGAACACTCTGAAAGGAAAACCACGTTATTTATGTAGGTTCCTTCTTCTATTAGAACAAGGATGGAAAACTGTTTGATAGAGTCCTCTGGGTTCTCTAAGACTGTGCCCAACAAAGTGGCTTCTAGTTTAGTAAGTTGTGTCTGGGTGGGAATTGTGGGTCTGAAGACTTAGATAAGAACTGTATCTCTGTGTCACTCATTTTTTTCACCTGCAAGTTAGAGGAGATCATTGCCCATCTTATAACAAGGAGTGAGGACAAGGAGTGAGGATTATGTGGGTGATATCCTTGTGTGCTCGCCCAATGGCCAATACATGGGTCAGTGTCTGCTAGTGGTGTGAGTGCTGGTCTTGCTGGTCAGTGATGCTGTAGGTCTGGATCCAGTATAATAGGTACACACACTCCGCCACACAAATAAGCTCAGCCCACAGGATACAGTGGATCCTTGTCCCTAAAAGTGGCAGGGCTTCTATGTTTGATATTGTGGCAATTGAAATGCTAACTCAAATTAATTACAGTTAATCACAGTTGAATATGTAGTTCCTCAGTCACACTGGCCATGTTTCAAGTTCTCAGTAGCAACATCCATAAGACAGGGAAGTTAGAGAACATGCCCCTCATTATGAAAAGTGCTTTACTCCAGTATCCCCAAAACATGGCAGAGTGCCTAGCTCCTGGTCACCTGAGGACTCAGGAACCTTGATCAAGGCAAAGGATGGTTTACTTTGAAATCAGTGCCCAGTTCAGTGGCTGCCTACACAGGACAAGCTCATGGTAGAAGTGCAGGTCTACTCACATCTGATGCTAGAATCTTTACGTCCACCTCATTCTTTGAGCACTCTGGATGAATTAAGTGGTTTCAAACTCTGAGGCCACCTTGATGTTTCCTCCTTCTGCTCAATTCCCAAGGTCATTAATTAACACTCAAATTTCTCACCTCTCTTTTCCATGTCAGATTATCAGATAAAGCAGAAGCCTCTAAGGAAGGAAGAGCAGAAGCAATCTCATTGTTTACCCTCTGCCGGGCTTGGGTCCCACAGAGTCCCAGGGAGTAGGAGGATGAGCCACAGCTAGTACTGTGTTAGGTACCTGTAACGCCTGGCTCTAAGAGACATTTCCTTGGTATAAATACTGCGACAACTGCTAATGTCTGTCTGCTGTCAAAGCCTGACAATTTAGCACTCTGCTCCTCTGGGTACCCAACCAATCCCCAAAGGACAGGTTCCAGGACATTCAATTGAGAAGGATGACTTACTTTATGTATTTTATCTAGGGAGGTAAATACATATTTTAATTGTATCTCAAGATTTTAAAAAAATGACAATACACTCCATGTAGATTATTACACAGTCTTTTTTTTTCTTTTTATTATACCAGGGATTGAGCCCATTCTACCTGCCCCACCCTTTGGAACTGGATCGTGCTAGGTTCCCCAGGTTGGCCTGGACCTCTTGATTCTCCTTCTCTCTTAGCCTCCCAAGTAGCTGGGATTACAGGTGTGAGCCACCATGCCTAGCTATTATGTAATCTTTCTGTGAAGTGAGAAAGAATTTAATAACCAAGCTACAATATAGTTTTCCTAGGAAAATGTCCTAAAGCTTACAAGTTATTAACTACAGAAAATGCTCAGAGGCTGGAGAGAGTCAATTCCTCTCCTCGTCCAATACTCCCAGTGAAGCATGGAAGGACATTGAATAGAATCTTATTTGCATTAGGAAGAATCGTGGTGCAGGTTGGTACTTTGGAGCTTATGAGACTGAACCCATGTGATAAATCTTGCTCTCAAATTTTCATACCACACACCAGGCTTTGAGCTGGGCCTGTGAGGGCCATAAGGCTGCTCTTGTGTACAGTTTTAAATCAAAATCAGCAAACTCAGTGCTCTGTCTGCCTGGCCAGTGGCCCTGAGCCATTTAGGTTTCTTTCCATATATTCAGTGTATTTAATATACAATCTTTTTGCTTTTCTTTCTTTTTTTTTTCTGGTACCAGGGATCAAACTAAGGACCTTGGGCTTGTGAAGCAGGTGTGGCACCATTGCACTAAATCCCCAGCCCTGTATAATCTTTTAAACAGCGTATCATTTCACTATCGAGTTTACAAGGCAAGTTATCCCTCACAGTCTTTACTTGGTAGAGGAAACTGTGTCACCAACCACATCCAATTTCAGTAGTTACCAAATTATTTTTCATATGTTACTCTTTCATTAATCTCATTTGCTTATGTAGATTTCTGGAAGGCCTAAGCAGAGAAAGTTTTCATCTTAGACACATTACTTAACCTTGGTGAGCATCAGTTTTGTCTTCTATCAAATAGGAGAAGTTTAAATATTTTATCTGGGAAGTTCCCACCTATAACCAGCACACAGTGGGTATTGGCTAAGGACAAGTCCTTTGAAAAGCATTTCAACTGGATGCATTCTGTGAGTAGGCAGAAGTGCAAAAATACTCAAAACCATGCCTTTTGGTTCTTTGTAAAGTGTCTGTGCAGTTCACTAAAATCTCCCTGCTTTATGCAATGCAGGCAGCATCTGATCATTCAGCTTGCATGAATGCCAAGAATTATTTTGCTTATTTCACAGCTCTCTGTATTATTCTTATCTAAGGGAGTTCCAGGTCATGCAGCCTACCTATTTAAGTGGGCAACTGGGGCACTGAATTTAAAAATGCAATGAAATCTTAGAACAGTGGTAATTCCCCACAGCAGTTATGGGCTGCCGGGGCAGGGAAGCTGCAGACCAACTGGCCACAGGTCATCCCTGCTTGCTGTGCAGACCTGCCAGCCACTTTGGTATGGTGACTCAACAGCACCCTGGGTGGAAACAACTCTGTTTGCTTCTACGATTTCCCATCCCAAAGGATTTCAGATCTTGATGTGTTCATCAGTTCATAATAGCCTAATAATGTTTTGCTACTTGGAGACCTGAAACCAGTTTGGAAGCTATATTAAAGGGCATCCTGCACAAGATCAGGAACTGCCTTGGCCAGAATGAAGCAGGTTCTCTCCCAGTAGCTGCTGGGATACCTGCAAGTGGGGGTTGGAAAATGGGGAGGGGGTGAGGGGGGGAGCATGATCCAGGCCATGCCAGGCCCTCATGCACGCCCAATAGGTGGGGACGAAATCGTGAAGCACTGGGAGCTCTGTGGCTATACTGAATCAGAACAAATGTAAGACCGAGACTTAAAAAAAGAAATGGAAAATATCAGAACAACCCAAGATATCTAATAGTTTGTAGGAAAGGTGCAAATCCAATGACTCACAAAGTCTCCTGCAATCCCTCCTGCCCAATCATGGGGACGGCTCCCTGGGGATTGGAGGCCCAATCACTGAAA